CCGCGGTCCCATCAGCGCCGGCCGCCCCACCTCGGGGGAGGACCTCTCCTCTCCATTCTCCTCCTCATGTAAGGTGCATCAGGAACACAATGCACGCCACTCTACCTGCGTAACCCCTCCCCCCTCCGATTCCGATAAGCGGAGGCCATGGGGCCAGGAAAATCGAGCGCTTGGTAGCACCGGCTTTCCCGACCCCAGCGGCGGATCTGGTCTCTGGCTCCGCCGCCAACCAAGTCTCGTCCGCGGATGGTAGGGAGAGCGGTGCCTCGTAAAACCGACACTCCTCAAACATGCAGATTTCCTCACGATGTTTTCCTTCACCACCGAGCAATTAAGAATTTCATTGGTACCGGTGGGGATCGAATCCGGGTTTCTCCGTACTGTGAAATTAACAGCGAGCGTTAACCATCTGAACTACCACAGCTCTAAATAAATCAATATAAATTAGGACGGTGGAATTTAAATAAATTTTATAAGCTTTTAAATAACTTGCTTTCTTCGAAAGTCTTTCCGGTTCAAAATTTGTAATCAATTTTTGAAGCACTTGCTGACATCCGGTTATTTATGAGACTTCGATAATAATGCAATGGTATAGCGTCAAGGATCTGATCTGATGATGGACCTAGATGCAGGCCCTGGCAACCAACGTCTGTAAAAGCTTGTTTTTAAATATATTTTAAAACTGATTAAGCCTCTAAAGTTATTAGTTGTGAAATAAATTATAATATTCATAGCGAGTCTCTGTAAAAATACATAATGTCAAAGGATAAATATATATTTTTTTAAATTATTATTTATATTTATTTTCATAAAACTGGAGTAGCGAGTTATTCCCTTTTCTGCTCCAAAACCCTTAGTAGCAAGTTACATTAATTTATTAACGTTCGACGGAGAATTGTTTGATCTAAAGTGACGTGAAGCATAAGACGGAATCTTATTAATGGGTTCTTTTAATTGTATTTGTATCTGTGAAGCAAAGTGCTTCTAAAGTAAGTAAATAATGAAACTATGAAGCGAAATACCCCTCAAATAAGTTTCACGCGTTGTTTATATTAACAAGAGTATGGTTTAAATATTTAATTTTGTTAATACTGTAACGGAGATTCAAGTTAGAAAAGGCCTTCTCCATACAGCTTCTACAAGCATAGTTATTGTTAGAGCTGCTAAAATGTTATAGATTCGAGAGCTACTTGGAGAAAATATTAATGTGATAAATAAAAAATAATAATCATTCTATATGTTCTTTCTTTTTTCCTTTATTAGCCAACGACTCTCTCTTTTCTTCCTAGATCCAATCCACAGTATCCTTTCAACTGACAAACGAGGCACTGGCGACCAAATTCAAAAACGAAACCAAACCAAACAGATTGTTAATGGGAAGTAGCATTGCCAGTACGGTTCACTTTTCCGTGCTTTTTATTGAATTAAGGAGTCAAATGTACACACAGTCCACCTGATAGTAAGTGAGTGCTGTCTAGTTGAAGTCTTATATCCTCGGTTAAGAATCAAAATACTGATGTGTTTTCACTCCTGAGGATTTAGATGGAATGTCTCGTTTCCATTGAAAAGGTTGTCTGCATATAAGTATTCATCATATGAAACAGCTATTTTACAGCAACTATTTTACGCTGGAATTATGTAAGAGCGTAGATCTTCCTCAGTCGAGCCGAATCATTCGTACCAAAAACCATAATATGTTGCAGATATACATATACAAACTCAAAACCTGTACATGTGTACTTATATATTTAGACCCCAATCTCTGCGATGCTTACATAGTATGAATTAAAGTCCTTATATAGTAAGTTTATTATAGTTTAATATTTAGAAAAGACCTGATAAGATGTTTCAGATTTTTTTTAAATAATACAAACAATCAAACAGGAAAATCGTTAAGAAATCCACAGAAATTACAGTGTTAAAGAATGCAAATTTGAAAATCCAACTTAATAGCGGCCTTTATAAAAATATTTTATACATTTCCTTTTCATCGGGAAATGGTGGGCGCCGCATTTAAATGGAATTTCCTCGCTGAGACTGTAAATGCGGTACTGCAACGTTCACACGGAGTAAAGTTTTATTTTTACTCAGAGATATTTTAGCATTTCTTTTAATTATCCAGTTTAAAAATATTTATTGACGTATTTTACTACGGATGGTTACCATAATGCTCTAATCCAAAGTCCCGATAACTTTCAGCTCCAGTTACATAATCGTTTTCAGTGCCTAGAAGATTGCAATGCAGTGGACTATGTGAATGACAAGCTCGTGGAAACTGTCCATGCGGTCGGAGCTAAGTTTTGCGAAACCCGCCGCAGAAGAACACAAAACTCTCCAATCACACCCTCAATCTAATGGCTGTAAGACAGGAAATGAAGCTGCAGTCTTCAGCAGATTTGACAGCATACAGGCAACTGAACCGATAGATCTCCAAATGCATGCGGCGACACTTACGCAACTTCAGTACAGCTCGTATTGAAGAAGAGATCGAGTGGAACCAGTGCTCCAAAGTCTTTGCCAGAAGTCTGTCTGCCAGAAAGAACCAACTGTCAAAGCTGAAGACCAAGTGTGGCAGCATCGTTTCCGGGACACCTGAGATTTTGAGTGAGATTGATAGGTTATATGGGCAGCTGTACAAATCGTAGTTGCAGCCACAGTATGAGTAACGATCCAAGAGCAAGTCTTATCCGACACTATTCCGATGATATTCCGGACGTGTGTCTAGTGAGATTGGAATGGCTCTCCAGCACCTTAAAAAACGGCAAGTCCCTGGGAGAGTAGAATTACAGCGGAGCTTTTGAAAGCGGGTGGAAAGTCTCCTTGAAGTCCTTCAAAAGCTCTTTAATTGCATCCTCCATAGTGACAATAGACCCGAGGCGTGATGCAGAAATGCGGTGGTCTTGTTCTTGTGACAATGCTCTCTCGAAGAACTACAGACCGATTTCCCTTCTGAGCCGCGTCTCTCTGCTGTTTTCGAAAGTCATTACGAATCGTCTCGCACGCGGTTTCCGATAAGGCTTTAGCACCATAGGCCACTTACATACCCTTCGGCAAATTGTACAGAAAATGAGGACTACAATTTGCCATTATGTCTTGCGCATATGGACCATGAGAAAGCCCTTGATTTTGTCAAAATTTGAGCGGTGCTGCAGTCCCTCCAACTGTGCCAAGTGGACTGTCGGTATATCGAAGTGTAGTAGAGCTACGATGGCTATCCGAGTACAGAACCTGAGTATGAAACCTATCCAATTGCAGAGAGGTGTAAGACAGGGTGATTTTATATCCCCGAAACTCTTCACCGCTGCATTGGAAGACGTTTTCAAGCTTCTGGACTGGAGAGGATACGGTATTAACATCAATGGCGAGTACATCACTCATCTTCGATTTCTCGACGATATAGTCCTTATGGCAGAATCGCTGGAGGACCTAAGCACCATGCTCAATGACCTCAATAGTGTCTCCCAACGAATAGGTCTTAGGATGAACATGGACAAAACAAAGATCATGTTTAATGTCCATGTCACACCTATGCCGGTGGCTGTTGGGAGCACTAAGCTCGAAGTTGTTGACGAGTATGTTTACCTGGGACAAATAGTCCGACTAGATAAGTCCAACTTCGACCGAGAGGTCAATCGACGGATTCAACTCGGCTGGGCAGCGTTCGGGAAACTACAACACATTTTCTCGTCAGACATACCTCAAAACCTAAAAACGAAATTGTACAACCAGTGCGTGTTGCCAGTGATGACTTACGGATCTGATACGTGGTCCTTCACTGCTGGCCATATGAGGAAGCTCAAGGTCGCTCAGCGAGCTATGGAGAGGGCTATGCTCGGGGTTTCACTGCGTGATAAACTTAGAAATGAGTATATCCGAAGTAGAAACAGAGTAACCGACATAGCCCAACGGATTAGTAAGCTGAAGTGGCAGTGGGCCGGCCATATAGCTCGAAGAACCGACAACCAATGGGGAAGAAAGGTTCTAGAGTGGCAGCCTCGTACCGGCAAGCGAAGTGTTGGGCGACCTCCCACGAGATGGAGTGACAACCTGGTAAGACATGCAGGAAGTCGATGGATGCAGGTGGCTCAGGACCGTGCTTTGTGGCATTCCTTGGGGGAGACCTACGTTCACCAGTGGACTTATGAAAGGCTGTAATGATGATGATGATGACCTACTGTCATGTGCATTAGGTGCTCGAATAAAACATAAATTTTTATGTCTGTAACATAACACGTTAATTAAGAAACACATTATTTTATATACAAAAAAAAAATAATACCATTGATTCATTTTCACTAAACTTTAATTAAGTTATGAATATGAATACTACATTCATTATGTCTCAAAACTTTGGCACAGGCCCAGAATTCATACATCATAAAGTGTCTAAAGAAATCTACAAGAAAGAAAAAGATTTGAGTAAGTTTTAAAGATTTATATTCTTTTTGTACGTAGGATTAGGACCTTTTAAATATTCTGAAATTTGCAGGTTACTTTTCTCGCACACGTACAATAATGAGTATTTTATACATCTTAGAATTGTACAACTTAAATAAGTGATTTCTTATATTAACGGTTAAACTTATTTCATCGCGTTTAATTTTCAATTTTTCTTGTATCCTTGTCACTTAGAAATGAAAAAGGTCAAAATTTAAGCGCGATAAAATTAATATTAAATAATGTTATTCAACAATTTGAAAGAATTTAATTACACTTCAACTTTAATGTCTAAAACATCACCAATTATGTCCAATTGGATAGAATTAATACGATATTATAATTATTACAATCACATTCGCTTTAGGTAAGTAATATTTACATAAAAAAATAATTAATATTTTGTCAGTAGAATCGTCGGCAACAGATGATAAATGTTCCATTGCTGTGAATTGATTTCACGTCTAATGCCGAAACTGATTTTAATACGAGCATCAAACTTTTTAAATAGTCCAGTTTTCCAACGACCATGGTATATTCAATTATGTTGCGTCTATCCTAAATTAATTTAATTCGATGTCAACATCCGTAGTTAAATTGATCCTCCTCTCTTCCTTATTGAAGAAATACGCGGCCGTTTCAGCGACCTTAATAGCTTCTCCCACACAAAATGGCGAAGGTTCCTTAATAAAGTCAATTTTGTTAACAGTGATACTTTCGCGTTTTTCTTGGTTTCTGTATTTGGACTTTGTATAAGATGAGAACTCTACAGTGTCGCGGCAAGTGGTGTCCATATTGAAGTTTTGGGAATCATGACGTTTCGGTTTACGACATAACAGCGTCTCATGAAACGCAGTGCGATACCTGCGGAGAAATAAAATAATTTTTATCACTTCATATTGTTATATCATTATCATGTAGCAGGCTCTTTCTTTGTCTCTTGGTTTGCTATAACTGCCACGCTTGGCGACAGCAGCTAATTGGCAGGGTAATAATATATCGTATACGGTTTTTTACTTTTTAATAAAAGGTCTCTCATTCCCAATAGTCGCTTCTTACGACATCACGTGCCGAATCAAGGTGATGAATATGTCGCCACCACAGGGAAGTGCGTGTTACTGAATATTTGTACAGAGTCGAGCACGCAAACCTAGTAATTTAGATTTCGTCTCATGTACTGAAGACGTAGTATCAATCACTCCATTAGATCGCGTGGGTGATAAAAGGGTTGAAAGGGCTAAAGAGTGGTCTTGTGACCTTTGAATAAAGGCAAAATAATCGTTTCGAATATAACTATTCTAAAATACCCAGACCGGTGACGGGCGGCGGCGTCTATTTGCTACAGGCCTAATTCTAGCTGTGAACTCCACCTGCATACTAATCTCGTAGCCAACATTACGCATTGTTGAGAATTTTTGACAGTTTTTTATTTTCTTGTTGATAATAAGAAGCCGTTTCTGCCCATCTCCTAGTTTGTTTCCTTCTGTCGCCTCTAGTGACACCGACTCTGTCGATATGTATAAGATATACCACTCACACATGCAATCACACATATTTGTTGTATAAAAAAAATTAAAAACACATACCTAATTATAATCGTGTAATACGCTATTCCAAACTCATACGCACCTGTTTCGACTAAACGTTTATATTATACTAAAATATATAGTCACATATAATCATGGTAGAGCCATGCTACAGCTATATTATTAATAGTATAGTTGTAGCACGAATGGGTCAGCTCGACCGGGGAAGGACCACGCTCTCACAGAATACCAGCGTAAAATAGCAGCTTAATGCTGCTGTGTTTCGTTTGGTCAGTGTAGATAACCGGAGAACCTTTTTACTGGAAAAGAGGCATTCCATCTTAGTCCTCACAGCTGACAACGCATCTGCGTCTTATTTTCAAACAAGGATAGATGTAGATGTCTATGGGCTACAGCAACCACTTACCATCAGGTGGATTATGTGCTCGGTTGTCACCTTATCCTATAAAAAAATATCGCCGAGTAGTGGTGGCATAAGATAATCTACCAGTTCACTTAGTCTCGTTATCTATTAAGAGTGGAGTATGCCAAAATGATGTTATGACGTTTGATAAATGACATTGGCAAAATCTTTTTACACCAAGTGTGAAATAACCAGAGCGGCGACGTGGATCAGCGTTAAAGACCTGCAAAGCGTGAAGATTAAGGCAAATCCTTCAAACAACTGCAAAGGTCTATGCCCAGCTGTGGACTTTGGACGATGACAATGAAGAAGAATAATTTAACAGATGTAAAGTTAAAAACAATACACAACCTGGCACTCATTACATTGTAGAGGATCGGATTGACGGTAGCGGACACGTAGTAGAGAGCACCAGCGACGTTGAACAAATGTTCATTGATGACGTGGAATTTTGGCAAGTCATACCCGTAGATGTAGAAAAGCCTCTGAACGTGGAATGGTACCCAGCACACGAAAAATGCAACCACCACGGTAACTGCGTAAAATAAAATAAATTCGTCAATGCAATTGTAAACCCTGCACCAAATCAGTCTAGGGAATTAAAGAAGGGATGACGTATGTAGGCAACAGTCAACAGTAGTTTATAACAAATATAATTAATTTAAAATTAAAAATTTTGTACAATCGACTTCAATATAAATTATTAAGAATAACTCAAAAACTATTGCTCAGACTTTGATCATAATTAATATTATTTCAAATAAAAAAAGAATCATCGAAATCGGTTTACCCAGTAAAAAGTTATGAGGTAACACACATAAAAAAACATACAGTGTGTACCGTCTCCTTTTTGAAGTCAGTAGAAAATGTAGTTATTTGCAAATACAAACAAAGATTTTTTTTAATTATTAGGAATGATTTCCCGCCTAAAATCTTTCTGGCGCCAAATATCAGTGCTTACTGCTGTGTTCTCGTCTGTAGTGTATAGAGAGCGCATATAGACACTCGTACAGGCTGTGAGGCATTCCATCTAGTGCCATCTAGTGCTCAGAGTTAACGACGCATCCGTAGCCTTCTTTATTTTAAGTTGGCTGTATGTGTCTGTGCACTACACTAGCCACTTACCAACAGTGGGCTGTCAATCTCAAAAGGGCTAGAACCCAGAGCCGTAAAGCCAGTTAAAAAATGGGCTGTCAATTTGTTTGTCCTTGAGTTTTATAAGAGTTTTGGCGGGAACTTGACCGGCGGCGGTTTGCTGCTCCTGTATTATAGTTTAAATAATAGTTTGAAGTGGAATTTGATATGTAAAAGTGGTGCGATTTTATGTATTAACTATCTACGCATGTGAACTATTAGTGGAAACGGTAAAACGGGTGCTCTGATGGTGATGGATTCTCAAGGTAAGCTGTTTGTTTACATGGGCGCCTTTAGATACCATCGCCAACTGTCAGCTGTCTGCTGGCTCAAGTTGCCGTCAAAATCTCCCAAGGGCTGCACAATGTGACGCATCAACATATTGTGAAGCAGTGAAATTCTATATATTCAAAATAAAAAAGACAAGGCTCTATGGCATAGTTCCTTTACCTGCTCCGTCGAGCGAATAATAAAAACAACAAAAATCAGTTTTATAAAAAAAAACCACATTCTGAAAAAATATTAAAATAAATAAATACATTATTACTAATTTTATCTTATTTTTATTAGTTTTAACATTGCCCTATTGAATATATTTGTTTAATTGTTATAAATAAATAAAAGGTAACCCTTGCCTTTTAGTGGTGACATAGGATAGTCCACTATCCTTTATCATTCTATTAAATTTTTTTTTATTAAAATCGGTTCATAAACAACACAATGTATGTAACGTACATAAAATGAACAGACGACTTGAGAACCTCTTCCCACTTTTTTGCAGTTGGTTACAAAACTCGCAATGAAATACAAGAAAATTTCTGATAAATAATTTCTGCTATTAAATGTAAATTGATCGAGGATCTGACTTCAAAATATTTTTCACTTCCTCAAAATTACTTAAGAAAACACAGGCAAAGTGTTCGTGCCACGAATTGAATTAAGGGTGGGAAATCTTCATTGAAATTCTCAAATGCTCTGTATGCTTTGATTAAAGACATTTTCAGTGATTACGTGCCTGTGGAGATATGATTTTATTTTAATCGTAATTTGAGTGGCAATGCTGGTGTTCAATCTCTTATACTTCAGTATCCTGCATGCGTAACATTAAAGCATTTAGTTTTACAATAAAATAATACTAAACATTAACCTGTTAAAAAATAAAAAAAAGTATTACAATAATATTAAGTTTATGTTGAAATATTTTAATTTGCTTTCTTTCTTGCATTGAAAGATTTCAAATTTACCAAGCATCCTAATTATTGCTTTTCTGGATTTTGCTTGTTTCGTTTCGCCATGCACGTGACCGTTCAGTAGACTCAGTCTCGTCCTTTTGGTAACCTTTGTTGACCTGCATGTGTAAAATAAATTAGTAGAGTTCATCATTAAAAGATAATAAATATATCTAGGTGTTCGATTAGATAGCTGCCGCCTTCTTATTTATTTCTCCCGCCAATAAATATCAGTACGTGCACTGCTGCGTTCAAGTCCGAAGGTTATAGACTCAGTATAATAACAGGTTGTGTGGCATTCAATCTTAGATCTCAAATGTGACAACGTAAACGTTGGCTGCGGGTTGAACACCACTCCTGGATTGCAGTAGTCAAATACCATCAGCTGGACTAAGTTCGTATGTCACTATGGTATGATTAAATAAAATATACGGGAACAAACATGTTGTTTATGGATGCTTTGAAATAGTTATATAGACTTACTTATCATACGGAATAAAAATATGAGGTAAATAATCTGCACGACAAATCTTAACCAAATTTAACTTAACACAGCAAATGTTATTAGATTTAAGAACTAAATAATCTAGATATAAACAGTTTTATTACCTTATATGAAGGCCAATTGCCACATACAAACATAAGATTAGGACAGCAGGCACGAAGAAAAAGAATATGCTGCTTAACTCCAGCAGAGGTGACGGGACCATCAAAGCACAGAAAGCAGAGTCTAGTGACATGTTACCAGAATCTGAAAAACATTTCAATATTTTGTATATGAGATAAGCAAGTTTTCAGAGTAAAAGTAATTGAGTGCTAATACAATATTTAAATATAATATGCCTTGTGGTGACAACGTGGGAGACTCTCTCCATTTAAATCCTTGATGATGTATGGGCGTGGCTATATATTCCGGTAGCTGGTGGTATTACCATATCGTTTATGCCAGTCCTTTGGATCAACGATAACGTCAAAATTGTGAACCATCTGTTTCAGCACCAGCGTGGCCGTTCCCAGTCGTCAGCATGTACTCATTTACTTTATTTTTACTTTGCTATATATAATATTTAACATTATCAAAAATCTTTTATGAACTGTTTATGTCTGACTTGTAATATACTAGTTAGAAGGGTGCCAAGTTGTCTTAAAGAAGTGTTGTTCCAGCAAAGTTGAAATTCAAAAGCGATGCCAATTTTAAAAACGTATTCGGTATAAAAAAATCAAATAACTTTATACTACTAATAAAAACTGAAGAAATTGTATGATAACTACAGTAAGCACATAGAACTTAGATCTTTGTAAGTGAAAAAGTATCTTATATATATATAGCTACCACGACCGCATACATGTACTCGTAGTTGACAAAATATCCTCATAGCATAGGAGACCTATAGCTATGTCTACACCAGTGCGCTTTCCATTTCGCTTTCATGTTCATTTTGCGTTTCAACTTTCAGTTCGTCTTGCGTCAAGCGCTGTGCCATAAGACGCATGCAGCTTGTCGTCTATACTCTATACCCGTGCGCTTGTCTTATGCAACGTTAGGTTTGGTTAGAGATGGACGCAGAACTAGTAGCTATCAGTGCAGCATATTTTGTGTTAAGTGCAGGGAAAAAACGCAAGAAAAGGGAAATCTGGATGAAACATTATTTGAAGAAACATTATTTTTAAAAATTTCACACGAATGACTAAAACCACTTCTTACAAGCTTTTCAAAATAGTGGAGCCAAATATTAGGAAACATAACACTCATTATCTAATGTTTTAACTTTGTCTTCCGCTATTTTGTTTACTAAAATGCACGAAATATTGCATGCGAACCTACCGGTGACGGATCACGGTGCGCTATTGCATGCGCTTTGGTTGCTCAGGCATGCGTTAGAGGAAGACGCAAGATGAACAGGAAAGCGCACTGGTGTAGACATAGCTAATGTGCCTTTCACTGTATATTTTACTATATTTTAAAATTTCTTATTTTTATCAGCCTACAATCTAAAGTATACAGAAATACTATAGAGTTAGAATCCGTAAATTAAAGTCTTGTCCGTAAATTGAAGTTTGATTCATTTAATATAATATAATAAGAAAAGGCATATTTACTTGGAGGATAATCCCTGTAAGTGATATCACTGTATACGGCAAACGGCGAAGCGCAGAGAAAAGAGATGATCCACAAGATGAATATAATACGCGATGCCCTGGTGAGGCCCGCCATCGCATACAGGTACAACGGGTGACATATCGCCAGATATCTTTCCAGTGAAAATGCTGATATTGTTAAGACAGATACGTATGTTGCTCTGTAAATATAAATAACTATGATAGATGGATAGCGGATTGCGATTAATTAATTAATTAATTTAAAATAGACACAATTTAAAATATATATAAATCAGTCCGATTAATCGTAAGAATGTAAGACACATTATTGCTGACACATTCACAATAAAGTAAAGGCCAGAGCGCCAGCGTACACAGGCTAGGAAAATTTATCGTAATATCGCAATTTTATTGGAAAACCGCGACCTCTCGGCATCCATTGATAAGGTTAGTTCGATCGTATTTAATTTTTTTCGACTCGCAATTTCGCAAATATACTTTGTTATAGTTTTCATAGCGGTGGATTAGATATTAATATCAATTTCAGTCGAAAAATAATAAAATATGAAATCCAATAGAGTGATAATTGATAAAAGTTGATTGGTAGAGTACGCAGTCGTTAAATCTGCTATTGTACTTTTTGTGCAACAGTGTTTAAATAAATACAAAGTAAACAAAATAATTAAAAGATACCGGCCTTCTATCGCGGTATTCATAGGCGTATCATTCGATACCTAGAAAAATCTGTCCCGACGCATTGCTTTGAAGACCTCTGACCGTTCATGTATGAATTAACTACATACGAATTTAATACCTAGGCTCAGGATCGTGCTTTGTGGCATTCCTTGGGGGAGGCCTATATTCAGTAGTTGACTTGTGAACGCTGTAATGATGACGATGATGATGAATTTAATATCAATTAAATTACAATAGACTGCCTTGCCATCGGCTGGTTTGTGCTGGCCCCTACTTTTTGTCAACATCGACTAAAATCGTGCTATAGAACCAAAATAATATCAAAAACAGTGTATGAGTTGTAATTTTCTAAGAAGAGGTCCAGTTTGGCATAAAATTAAAGCCAACCACATTGATACTGATACTGATAGCTGTGCAACTCCTATTACGTATAAGCTGCAAGAAAGCACCTTTTTTCTTTAATACAGTATTTAGGAAAACTATCACATAGTAACTTCATAAATTATATGATACCATGTAGTGGTGGTGTAAGAACATCTACTACCCCATATTATCACGTGGGTGTCGCAAAGGGCTACAGAGGGAAACTGAACCAGGGGATAGATGAGCAGCAGCATCTTGGTGATAAGGACTGAATGAAAAATAATAAACTGCGGTTAATGGTAAATATACCCCTGTGAGGCAATCTAAGGGGAAGGCTTATGTTCAGCAACAGAGGACTTGTTGATAGACTGTTGTAATAATGGTAAAACTTATATACATGGATAACTGATATATTACAAACATACAGGTCAGGCTTATGAGTGTGTAAAAATGAAAAAAATAAATAAATAAAAATTTATAAAACGATCCATAGATGGAAACAATGATAAACTTACACCGACGCTGCGTGTGATATTAAATATAATTCTCTTTCTTTATAGGATAAGGGTGACAAGCGAGCACACAGTCCACCCGATGGTAAGTGGTTGCTGTAGCCCATAGACCTCAACATCTATCCTCGTTTGCGAAACAAAATGCAGACGCGTTGTCAGCCGTGAGGACTATGATGGTATGCCTCTTTTCCAATAAAGAGGGTGTCCGGTTCTCTACATTCACCATACGAAACACAGCAGCATTAAGATGCTATTTTACGCTGGTATTATGTGAGAACCGAACCATTCGTGCTACTATACAATTAATATAGCTGCAGCATGGCTCGACCGCATTTAAAATTCATATTAATTTAAAAAAAGGTATCCACTTTGAAAAGCGGAGACTCCGAACATAATGTAATAAATGACAGAAAATAACAAAAGATTCAAAAAATTATGGTTATTTATGATTCTTTTGTTATAGTTTATAGTTTTATCTCATCACGCACAAATAACTTACGCTTCTGATATAAGAGCACGCAATTTGCAGAACACGATTCCCAAACTGTACGGGTACTGATGCCAGTACACGGAGAGATCATTAGGAAGACCTATGGAAAATACAATAATTACCTTTATAACAATTTAAATAATTGCAAAATATCCCTTGTTCTTGTTTACCCTAATTTTTAATAAGGGATTATTTGTCCCATTTTCATATGTAAATGAATAAATAAAATGTGGCATATAATATTATGTCCTTTTTTTATAGTATAGGGTGACAAACGAGCACACAGTCCACCTGATGGTAAGTGGTTGCTGTGGCTCATAGACATCTACATCTTTCGTCGTTTGCGAATCAAAATGCAGATGCGTTGTCACCCGTGAGGGCTAAGATGGAATGCCTCTTTTCCAGTAAAAAGGGTCTCCGGTTCTCTACACTCACGTTACGAAACACAGCAGTATCAAGCCGCTATTTGACGCTGGTATTCTGTGAGAGCGTGGTCCTTCCCCGGTCGAGGCGACCCATTCGTGCTACAACTATACTACTAATATAGCTGCAGCATTGCTCTATCACGTATAAAATCCTTTGTCAACAATAAAATAACATAAGCGCAAAATATGCTGGACCGTTTCCAGACAAAACAAAAACAATTCAGAGCGGTATTTAAAGATAATCTCAAGTCTAAACCCAAATTTCACAATGTCAAAACTTGTGATTGGTCTATTGGTCGAAAATGTCTTTGAATACTGGCCTCAGCCACCCCTCGTACAAATATTATTTGGTTATTGCGTAATCTTACGCGTTGCTGCTGATGCGGCAAAAAGTAATTTTCAAATATAAATAAGACTAGCTGTTCGCCGCGACTTCGCCCGCGTGTAATTTATTGCAATTGGATTTATTTATTTGTTTATTTATTCTTTATTGCACCAAATATTTGTACAAAAGGCGAGCTTAATGCTATATGGCATTCTCTACCAGCTAACCATTTCATGGGTTTTAATTTTTTGCGCGGAACCATAATTCTTAAAAATAAAAGTAGCCTAGGTTACTTCTTATAACATCAACTATATGCCAGTGAAAGTCCCATCCAAATCGGTTCACAGATTTTGCGTGATGCGTGTTCAGACAGACGTCGTGTTAGACTTTTACTATTACTAATATAGTAAGTATATATCATAGATTTTTTTTATATGATAAGGGTGACAAACGAGCACACAGTCCACCTGATGGTAAGTGGTTGCTGCGGCCCATAGACATCTACATCTATCCTCTGTTACAAATCAAAATGTAGATGCGTTGTCACCCGTGAGGACTAAGATGGAATGCCTCATTTACAGTAAAAAGGGCCTCCGGCCACCTGCACTCACCAAGCGAAACGCAGAGGTAAACCTCTACTTCACGCTGGTTTTCTGTGAGGTCGTGGTACTACCCCGGTTCGAGCCGGCCCATCCGTGCGACAGCAAAAGCTGCCGCGTGGGTCTACAACTGTTAATTAGATTAGATAATTAATGTATCTTAAATATATTTGTAATTTACTTATGATATCGTTAATTTTATACCTTAGAAATTTATTAAATGATGTAGAGAAAGTGAATTACTAGAAGCATTTGTTGCACTATTAAAAATGCAATATACTCGAATAATATCTATTTCTCAATTACAGCTAGGACTCAAGCGTAAGTACGCCTTACCCTTACTTGTTATAATTATATCTTATTCTTACTAAACCTTGGTTGGGATGAACTTAATATGACAATGAATGTAGAACATACCCATAGTTTATTTATTGAATTTTGTTATCTTTCTAATATAAATATAAATTAACATAAATAGATGAGAACGAGTGTCGTGTGGTGGCAAAGTAGAAGAGCACTTTACCCATCATTTCGACCCGTGTGTGTCGTAAGAGGCGGCTATGGATATGCCAGGGAAATCTCGTAAGATTTTTTTAAGCCATAGCTCCTGCGTGATCACCAAGCGTAACAATAAGGGAAACCTTGGGCTGATGAAGAAGAAGAAGATACAATCAGACATATTTATAGGCAAAAAAATATTATTAAAGTATTTCTAAAGTCTACCTTTAATAAGACAGTGTTATAATATTTTCAAAAACGGTAATGCAAAATGTTCAAAATCAGTATATACTGTTAGGAATGAGGGTATATTAATAAAGGAAAATAAGGAGAATTGAGGGTAGAACTGTAATCTCCCACTTGTTCTAGCTGTATAAAGTATCGTGCAGTCGACTAAGAGGGATGTTGCGCCCTCTTTTCCCAAAAGAGGGTCGCTTCCGATTCGGCAGAGAGGCCTCAAAGGTTACTGCCCATCCCTCAAAGTGGAATTTAGCGGGTATCACTTAAGGTCGCGTTTAGGATAGTTAGTCACAGTGAGTCCCGCATAACCACGACAGACCGGCTGCCGTGGTATGCATAAAGCATTCTCCACTTCCTCGCGTATCGGGGTAGCCCTTTCCAATTGCTTCTGGGAAAAACAAAGAGGGATCAGTCGGTAATTCTACGAGTCTCATGTCGTTACTATAACTGTTGGGCTAAAAAATTACCTCCACACTGCGATTCTGCCTAAGTAAGATAAGTGTGTGGTTCTGTTCATGAAGTAGTTCATCTAGTGTAAGCAAGGAAGGTGGTGTTGCTGGGAGGCTGTCCTGTGTTATATTGAGATGCCTAGTGTTGCTGTTACTTTGCAACAACTTAATAACTTAAATGTACACAAAATTGTCTTTTTCACACTGACTAAATAATTTAATACGTAATAATAATTTAAATTTGAAATATAATTGTAACGATAATAATAACAAATTTCATTTAATTGACATAAATAATTTAATAAAAAGTTTTGGACAGAAGATAGGTATTACTTATCCAAATACAATGTAAGACTGGTAGCAAATGTGCTTCTTATTATTTACTTTTTAACTCTGCCAAGTTTTTGGCTACCAAGACTAATTTTATTGGGCGTCATAATCATTTGACATTTAGTTTGGAATCAGTTCCAACTAATTCAAATTAGTGAATGTGACCAATAGAGGCAATCTCTAGCAATAATGAGAGTTTAATTAATTTAGAATGCAGCCCACAAATAAGTAATAAAACTTGTTTACACTTGGTGCGTCAAAATATACAAGGCGTGATGGGCAAATAATTGGAATATGAATTGTTTTTAAATAGTTACAACATACATATCCTTTGTATTACTGAACATAGGCTAAAAGATTATAATTTAATGTTTAATTTCAGGAATCACCAGGTGGCCAGTTCCTTCAATAGAGAAAAAAGTTTACGTGGTGGCTCCTTAATATTAGCAGATAAATCATTATTATATAAAGAACGTAAGGATATTGTGAGCCTCTCTGTTGAGCGAACTTTAGAAATTGCTTGTGTCGAGCTCGAGCACCTCATTATTGTAAGTGTTTACAGACCCCTATGTGCTACTTATGACTATTTAGAAAAGATTGTGGAAGAAGTTTTGATCAAGCTTAGTAAACAAAACAAGTCTGTTGTAATATGTGGAGGCTTTAACATCAATCTCCTTGAAATTTATTGGAACGAAGTTCCTTATCGGATGGTACGGGTTTGGCGGATGGTAGCAAGGCGACAAAAAGTGTAAGATTTTTTCGTCACTACCCCTTGTCACAGTGTAGACGGTCATGGCGGCGAAATAAGGAAGTGAGATGGAATAATATCCATCCCCCTCGCACTTTTTCTAATCTTTCCATGAAAGAAACATTATTTTATTTCAAATGACGCTTCATTTTAATAGACGCTATTAATTCATTTATTTGTATTTGTTAATTAATTATATAATACCTACCTTTATCAATAATAATATACTACGCAAAGAACTTCGTTCCAAGCGAGTGTTCCACGACACTCAAGCATTTTTAGTATTAAGTTTAGTTCATTGTTTAAATAGTATAATTTTGTTAATTTATAGTATACATTAGTAAAATGTATATGGGTCATTGTCATTTTCGGAAAACTAAAGGTGGTAAAAAAAAAACTTATTTTTATAAGTTTTCTTTTTATTTTTTAGATAAAGTATCTCAAAATTATCTTAAATTAATACAAAAACGAGATCGATCCATAGATATTTAAGAAATTAGAACCAAAAACATTTTTTTGTGACCACCGAAGAGACTCAGCTGACCACCAAAAAGAACAAGATAGCGAAAAATTTGTAAGTTGTTTGAAACTTAACTAATTATTTATTGTAATAAGTCTTAATAATAACTTTCCTGAACAAAAATACTTAAATTATAAAAAAAATGTTTTCAATAATCAAATAAAAAATGAAATATAGAGACCTCCGAAAAGATACAGAGAAAAGTATCTTTTTGGTGGTCTTTATATTTTTATTCAGAATCAGACCAGAAAGTTTTTTTTGTAATATTTAAAACCAGCGTATAATAGCAGCTTAACGCTGCTGTTTCGTGTGGTGAGTGTAGAGAACCGGAGACCCTTTTTACTGGCAAAGAGGCATTCCATCTTAGGTGACAACGCATCTGCATCTTGAGTCTTTATTGAGGATAGATGTCACAGTAGGTAAGTGGTTACTGTGACCCACAGACATGGGTCACAGTAACCACTTACCATCAGGTGGACTGTGTGCTCGTTTGTCACCCGATCCTATAAAAAAAATTGGCTTTTCAATTTTTGATAGAGGAACATCATCTGAAGAATCTGAAAAAACATCTTCGTACCTCCAAATTTTTTTGGAAATATGAGGACATTTCAGGTGTTCAGATTCCTAATATAGTTCTGGATAATTTGCCGACTTTATTTGAATTTGACCAATTCCAAAATGTGGGCATATTATATTTGATGGGCAAACCATGCAACTTAATCTTCTGGCATGCAAAATTCGGGGATCATCTCGGTGCGAAGTAATTTGATGTATCTTTAAAGTTCCACGGAAAGGTTCAACTGCAGCGTCATTAATTTTTTTTCAATTTCATCCAAAAAGGTGTCGTCGGTTGGAATAACAGTTATACCTTGAGCATTTGTTTTCAAACAGCTGATTAAGCTTCTCATATCGGAAACATCATTTACCAGAGCCACGTGACGATCAGCAGTCCTCTTAAGGCAGCCT